CACTCAATCATTGGACGAAAAACAACAATACCCGTTGAAGCTTTACAACGGTCCAGACAGGGTATCTGGTCAGTTAAGACACACAGACGACAACACAGACGTACAGTTGGAACACTTATTCTTCCTTGACTGTTTGTTGCATGTGAGACGAGTTTTATTTCGTCATATATGTAATATACTGAAGTTATCTCTGCAGGTCACGGAGATAAAGAATCGTTTTCTAAGATCAGATGTGACGGCACTCCGTAACATTTCAGTCGCGACAATTGACAGTTTTCAGGTAAGTACTTGGTGAGGAGCGATCATTTTGAAGCTATACCATACGGTCTCCTCTTCATATGGAGACGAGCCAGTCTGGTATGCCAAGACAAGCCCGTTCACATAACTGGTTAAAATATTCAAGTTAAAAAAAATGAGACCTTTTGTGAAGAGTATGTCGTTGGATGAGCCAGTGGTCACATGATTTTGTTAAATGCCTTATTCACAGGGTCAGGAGAATGACATTATACTCATATCACTGGTCCGTAGCAGCAAAAGTGGAAAAATTGGTCACTTGTCTTCATCGAACCGTTTGTGCGTGGCCATTTCTCGAGCACGCTGTGGCTTGTATCTATTTGGCAATGATGCTCAGTTGAGTAAGGCTTCTAAAATTTGGAAGGTAGGGTGTCTGGGGCATGTGCATCCCATGTTAATCTTTTCAATAACAGCCCAAAGTGGAAGAACAATAAAAACTGTTGCCGTGAAACAAAGACATTCTGCCGCGAATATTTATGTAGTATAATGTGATCCATGCATTACGTTGTTAAACCGAGCAAACCCTAAGATTGTCAGTGACATGAAAGGTGGGGATCGGACTTGTAACTGATTACCACTTGTTTTTTTTTATTATTATTTGTTAATTTGGCTGGCTTTTTTTACTTATGTTTGATTTTACGATGAAACTAAAATCCACATTTAAAATCAACGTAAAACTCTTAAGAAAGTAGGTCTATGTGCACAATTTCGAAAATGATTTGTTTTAACTGAAGCATCCTTTTACAATAGAAAGTCACTGAAGCCATGTGGAAAAGGAGGTGTCTTGGTGACAGATTTCCGTTTCGTTCCAGTAGTCAATTCGTAAGTAGAACAACAAATGTTCATTTACATCCTGCACGCCGCGATACAGTTTCCATATAAGTTAAGACCTGCAACTCTTCATATACTTTGTCTTTGCCCGAACAAAACTTTGGTCAGTAATGTTCTTAATTTGAGAACCCCTTAATACATTCAGGTTTTGTGACCTGTTGGTGGTCTGATAAACGAGGTTTCACTGTATTTAAATAAGTGTACTCTGTACAGAGACATATTTCCAGTGTGCGAAGACATAAACTTACCGGAGACGGACCAAACAAGACACACATCGGTCAAGATGTAGATTATTTTTAAATAAGAAGCAAATTATTGTCTTAAAGTACGCAGGTTAAAAATGAACCTTTTAGAGTTTAGTAGTGCTAGAGCCCTTACACATTTCGTCACTATTTGAAATTTTTTACTGTCATGTTATTTTATTGTTACCGATATGCTATCATATCTAAGCCTCGAGAATTCTGCCGTTCGGTATATTGCATGGAGATGATCTTACTCTGCTCAGTCACCTCGGAGTGCAGGCTCGAGGGACCAGCTATCTAAAATATTCTTCGCGCCAAACTCGTTCTTCGCAACTCGTCGTGGATGAAATATCGAAACCACGTTTAGTATACAGTAATCTGTCCGGACGAATTTCTGTATGCATCTACTGTTCTATGTGTCTAGAAGTGTAAAATCCGGATGAACTATCAGACGCACTGAAGTAAACCCTCAGTTTATGGTTCAATTTACAGTAGTAGATAGTTCGTCTTGACAAATTACTGATCTTGTGCCCGACTTTACATGCACTGATCTAGATGCGTAATCGTCTGATCCCCGTCTTCACACACATATGGATTATCTGTCTCGACCAAGGTCATATCTTAGTTTGTTGTGTAAGATGCACCAAATAGGTCGTCTTTACGAATATCCATCTTGTAACCGTCTTATGTAGGAAAAAAAATTCCATCCAAGGTCGTTTACAAGGATTCTGCGTCTCTAGTATTAAAACGACTATGCGTCATTTAAAAAGAATAACGTGTCAGGATTTTAACAATAGTAATTTTGCATTTGCAAGAAAAATTAAACTTTGATATGGGGCGGGATTTGTTTTTATCTTACTAAACTAGAAATCACAAGGGGAAGCCGAGGATCAGATGGAAGGCCGTTCTCCTGGGAAGGAACCGCAAACCATGTTTGTTGGTAAGAAAGGATTATCCGTTTTATCACCTCGCTAAC